TATGAAAGAAAGCAAAACATTGGGAGGAAAATACAGTCCTAGAAAGAACTACAGTCACAAAACAAAGACATCAAGAAGGGGCAGTTACTAGGAAGGCCGGTGGTGTGTCGTGAAGGTGGCCCGGCCGCGATGCGTGCGGGTGCAGGGTGCGAGGCTGTGCCAACACTGGGAGTCACGCTGCAACTTCACTTGTGAGAAGTCCCTGGTTCTTGAGGGTGGGCGGAGAACGCCAGAGGGCTCTGCACACTGTACGGCTGGCCCGCAGCGGTGGAGGCGGAGGGGCCTCCTGCGCTCGGCTGGGTCCCGTCAGCCCGCGCCCTGCTCCTGCACTGGCCGCGCCGCCCCGAGCGGCTCCAGCAGCGCTTGGGCGGCCGCGCTCGAGTCCGGGAAGCGCGGCGCGGTGCCCGCGAAGGAGTCGCAGCCCAGAGTCTCCTCCTGCACGGGGCGCCCCACGGGGTCCCCGCCAGCGCCACTGGACCCCGCCGCGCCCTCCTGCGATGTCTGGCTGACATAGACCACGATGATGTCGCCCTTGAAGTTCATCACTTGTCCGCTGGAAATAAACGTGGAGTTACTGTTCCCGGTCACGTTTCCTAGAGGGAGAGGGAGAGAACACCGGCAGGATGAGTCAGCGCCTCCGCCTCCGCCACCGGGGCGCCTGGGTCTGGACGGGGAACTTTCCTAAGGGTCGGAGGGGCGGGTGAGGGCTCGAGTCCCCAGCCGCCTCTCCCAGGAGGGGCAGTCGGGCTCCCCCTGGAGGCTACTCCCTCTGGGAAGCGCAAAGTGGCCGCGCTGGCTTAGGGGATGGGCCTCGCCAGGATGGAGGGAGGAAAGGAAGAGGTGATGAGGGAAGGGAAATGTGGCAAGCCTGCAGGCCGTGCTGATGCGCCACTATTTGTGGAACAAGGGGGCTCTAGGATGCTGGCAGGAGAACCCACCTGGACCACGGAATCACAGAGGGAGGAAGAGAGGGAGGAGGACCAAACAGGGAGGAGTAACAGAGGGGAAGGGGGAAGGGAAGGGGAGGAGAGGGGAAGAGGGGGGTCAGGGCTGGGGGAGGGGGAGGAGTCATTTGCAACCAGACAGCTAATGGCCCAGCCATCACCAAGCAAGTATCTGTCTACCTGCCTCTCCCACTGGACTCTAAAATAAGGTCCCTGTCATTCCTCCCAGCTCCCATGAAGGTTAGGACTCAGACCTGGATGTTCATGGGGCTGAGAGAGCTCAACTTTTACTCCTGGGGGGAAAATGCTAGAAAGGAAAAAAGAAATCCTATAAATCACTTCCTTCCGAGGCTTGAAAGTATTCAGTGGGAATTTTAGCATCATTTCTTTGTGGGTGGCTGGAAGTAGCTAGTCTTTGACAGACCTTTTGAAAACTAAAGAATTAGTTTTCTAATTCTTTTCAAATGTAAGGAAACTTGCCACTTTTTATAATTCTTCTGTTTTAAAGATTGGTGGTCCAGAAACTTCCCAAGTAAAAATAAGCACCCCAGGAGACCAAGAAACTCCCAGAGGCTCAGCGTCACAGACAGAATCTTTTAGTCTGACTGGGGGACATGAATATAAACATGGTTCCTCTATATTTATCTTATCTGTTCTGTATCATTACCCAATTCCTAATAATTTATACAAATAAAATGAAGTTTCTGTCACCACTCCACATAAAAACATTTCCCTCAAATTTGGAAGACATGTTTTAGTCCATCTGAATAAAATATGTCCCAATGGGCATAGTGAAATTTCCTTCAGAGAGCCTTCCTCCGGTCACCGGGTACCTCCATGGGCACAGTGAAAAGTCCATGAGAACACAGGAATTACAAGCATGAGCAACAAACCGCAAGTCACAAAGGGAGGTCTGACTCCTGGGTTTCCCCTCTAGACGGCTGCATGGGAGAACACTTCAAAGTGGGTAGTAGCAGGGATTTGTCTAGTAACTCCCCAGTCAACAGGAGGGAGACCAGCTGCCCAGGGAGTCTCCACTCCCCTAAAAGACACTGATAGGTGCTCATAACAGTGCACTCTGAACTGAGGGCCTGCTCCAGGATGTCTAGCTTAGCCTCTGCCCTCACCAGCCACTGAGTTCATTCTCTTCTATTTTTTCCAGATAAACTCATTAGGAAACAGTCAGAATGATTTAAAAAAAAAAAAAAAAAAGACATACCATAAATATTGTACTCTGATTAAAAACCTATTTTTTAAATAAAGTCAGTAATTTTAAATTGCTTTGAAGCATAGCTTTTCTCAGCACAGCTTCCCTATGTGTCATTATTGTGACACTGCTGCTGGTTCTGTTGTTCTTCAATATGAGCACAAGACATCTCTAGCCACTGCAGAGGGAGTCAGGGCTTTGAATTTAATCTCTTCCTTATTCTCTTCAGGTTTAGATTTATCTGGTGGTATCTTGTATATAAGATTTATCAGTCCTTTAGAATTTCATTTTCCAATACATTATCACAATGAATCTAGCTTATTGTTTCCTTGTCAGAACCTTCAGTTAGGCTGTGCCTCTGTAAAAGCCTACGTTTCTTGGCATCATGTTGCACATAAAGATTTCATGTAAAATCTCACATCTCTAGAATTTGATTCTCAGTGATTGTTCCATGGAAAATAGTATCTTTGATACTGATATCCTTAAAATTCTATAGGCCTGATGTTTGTTCTTGTTTTCCATTTTTATCTCCAAGTGAAACTCAAACCATTTCACCTCAATGATATATTTAAGTAGTCCAGAATCCTTTGATTCATAGACTACATCAAGAATATAAGAAAATCAAAGCTTTTAAATTCCTGACAATGGGGATGTAAAGTTGCCTTTTAGAAAGAGCATGCAGTTCTCAAGCATTCCCTTGAGTGTTTGTTGAAGGTATAATTTATGACAAAGGTAACCTTGGATCAAGTTCACCATACTAGGCAATAGTAAACTAGAACAAACTAATCTTTAAAAAATGTCTACTGCTTGCCTGTAACAGTAAGACACAGCAGCACGGCCTTCCTAGGTCTGTGACTTGTGCAGTTGCACAGGGCTGGTGTTCAGGAGGGGCTCTGTGCTTGGCTGAATGCTCTGCTGTCACCAGCTAAAAGGCCTATGAGTTCCTACATTGCATTTTTATTTTTCACTGGACTCCACAAATTATATTCCCAGTTCAAAGAGGAGGCAAGATTTCGGAGTATCACTCTGGGTTCTTTTCTCCCATAGATACTTTAATTTAGCATCAGTATTTTAGGAGGAAAGCAAAGCATAAAACATGTTTGAATATTGCTGAAGTGTTTGCCTATGAACGTTTCTCTATTATGAAGTAAACAGTAAAACACTGAAGGTTATTCATTGGTGCTCTGAAAATGCAGAGCCTGTGACATGTTTTCCTGATGTTCAGTCTTCCTGCTGGAAAACTCAATGCAAACTTCCTCGTATAGAACTCAGTTCTATCCCTTTAAGAATGGGTCTACTGACTGTACAAATTATACCCTTTATGCTTTGCTGAAAGTCTCCAGTTTTGGTTTCTTTAAAGTGGAATGAAAATGCAAAGTCACCTGTCAAACAGTCTAAGTCCAGAATCCGTTTAGAATTTTATACCCCAATCTGTCATAGCTGTCTTATCCATTTCCAAGACATCAGCAAAACATTTTTTAGAACTTATTATATTTGGATTGTCTTAACCTATTCAATAGTTTTCACAGAAATAGTCTTAATGCTTACCAAACTCATTTTGGTCAGCTAATGTAACAAAGTTTTAATTACACTAAGACCATCTCACACTCACAGAACTGGGATTCTGGCAAGCACAGCCATTCACTGGTAGCCAAGGAGCTGTGAACAACCAGTATGCTCAGGGCTTCAGTGGGCTGCTTTCATGGGAAAAGGAGAATGTGAGCTGATCAGAGGGTTAAGTGCACATAGGTTAAGAGAATACTCATTACCATAATAAGGATACTAGAAACAATGCTCTGAATCCAGAAGTTTCTGAGTGCTGGGTGTACTATAAACATTAGCATACAGGTGCTTTGCACGAGAACATTTCTTGTTTAGTTTTGGCCATCTACTAGCCAAACCTGTTTTCAGGATGAAAAACTGTCTGACAGCCTCTTTTGCCATGGCTTGTCATAATCTGGGCTCATCTGAATGTCAGTTAGGGATGTCAGTACTGTGATGGGGTTTCAGGCCTTGCTAAAGACCAGTGAGTGGTGCCTGATGGAGATGAAGGCAGAGTAGCTGTGTGGCTAAAGGATGGTGAGAACGGGGGCAGGACAACAGAGACAGCGAGGGTGGGAATGTGGGTCTGTGGTTTGTCCTGACTTGGTTGTCACTAGTAGTGAGAATCTGAGACAAACTGCCAACCAATTCTGTTTCAGTTTTCCCATTCATAAAAGGAACACCAGTTGTCCTCTCATGCTAGCGTGGCATGTACAGCCATACAAAGCAAGCATATCATCCACATTTGTTAAACAAATGAACAGATGAATGTGTGAAGATCCTTCAGGATGGCACAAGGTCAGACAAGATGGTGGACTTGAAAGTTCTTGGGAAATAGCAAAAAATTAGCCACAGGGACAATGACGGCATTATTACTCCCAGAAAGTACTGTTAACGCTCATGGAGCTCTCAAGGATGCACAGATTCATTAAACAGACTGAAGAGTGATATTATATCTCCATCCCTATCTGGTTGGAAGATTTCAATATCCCAAAGCTTGAAAGGGCACTTTCCTGTGGAAACCAAAATAACGTTCTTTATTCTGTTCTAAAATCATCAATTATTATGATTGCCTCTAGTCAGAATCTTCAGAGTCCCACACTCATTTCTTGTCATACTAGTCAGTGCTCAGAATGAATTGATAATATCCTTGTCCTTTAATATAGCTCAGTCCTGAACTATCCTTATTAAAAGCAATAATTTCTTAAAATTTACATCCTATGTTTCATTTTTCTCATTTTTTTTTCTTTTCTTGAAACAAGGATTTGCCCAGGCTGGCCTTGAACTTGTGATCCTCCTGCCTCAGCCTGTTGAGCAGCTGGGATTACAGGTGTGTGCCACCATGCCTTCCTAGCTTGCTTTACATTTCAGAAGAGAAGGGTGTCTAGGGTTATGCAAGCTGATCTGGGCAGGCCAGGTAAACTGCATGATCAGATGCATGCTGCTAAAGGAGGCTTTGGTTTCCTTTCTGGCATGCTTGTAATGGTTTCTGTGGTTAATATGCGCCCCTGAAGGGTAAGACTTTCCCCCTGAATGTTGAGGGCCCCCAGCAGGTTCTCCTGTTAGAGTGGCCCTCTCCTTTGCTGATGGCAGATAAGATGGTATATAAAAGGAGAAGGATAATTTGGATGAGGCTTACCCCTGTTAGCAAAAAAAAAAAAAAAAAAAAAAAAAAAAAGCCGTGAGGTCTAAGCAAATAGAGGATAAGCAAGGAGATGGGAGAAAGTATTTAAAAAGGCCATATCAGATAAAGAACTTCTACCAAAGTATCCAGTGAACCCTTAAAATTCAACAATAATAAAATAACCCAATTTAAAAATGGGCTAAAAACGGCAATGGACTCTTCAACAAAAGATATTCAGATGACGAATAGGGATATGGAAAGCTGTCCTACATCATA